CAATAAAGATTCATTACTTTTGTTTAAACAACGTGTGAAAATATGATTGAACTATTATGGATGCTTACTCTCTTCTTGTATGAATTATTCATATCCATGAAATCCATCAGTATAATTAAAGACACATCTTATGCATAACAGTTATTCTAAAAGGTTCCTATAAACACGCAAAATATAGCGCCGTTAATATTCATTCGGTCTATAATGAGTTCTCGCAAGACAGCGAATCGCTCACAAATTACAGGTAAGTGTCGACAGGAACGGACTCGCATCTTACAATATGACAGTCACATTTTAAATTTGAGGTTAAAGATTTCTTGAAACCAGAAAAGAAAGTAGTATTCCGGTTTCTAATATAAAATTTATAAATATTTTTACAAATTTATCCCGTAAAATCTTTTGAAAGTCAAATTATCGATTAGAACTAATATTAAAATTTTATCATATAACGGCTCGTGTTGTATAATTTTTATTCATTAAAAGTTATTATAACGGGTCGCTCAACATTTTCGCTGTGACATGTAGAGACATATTTAGCGTAGCTATCGCTAAACAAGTCGCTAAACAAACTCGTTAAGCACACTTTCTCGTCAAGTGCTTTCAATTTGCGATAATTTGTACGGACATGTTAACTGTCATCTCTTGACCCGTTACATAGAAAACGGTAGCATTTCGCCGCATCATACTAGCGGTTTTTATGTAATCCTATCGTTGTAAAAGGACAAATTTTCTCAGGTCTACGTTTTGATACATCAAGTCTTCCAATATCCACGATGATAGAAATAAATTGCTCCAAGAGAAGACCTCAGAGAAGACCTCAGAGACTCTGGAGAAAGAATTAAATAAATCACACGTGTGATTCAGTTCAACGATTTAACCAACGCAATTGATCAAAATTCTTTCTTCGTCTGAGATCTCGGAGCGATTTCTAGCTTCGCGGACGCGAGGCTTTAGATGAACTAGACTGGCACAACTGGTTTTTTTTTTTTTTTTTTTTTTTTTTTATTTTTTTTTTATATTCTAAACCCTATTCTAAACCTATCTTGGCCTTCCCCGCGTAGCTCCGCCCCTGGACGGATTTGGAATCGGGTGCCGTGTACGGCAAGCGAGTGCCACGCTAGCCAAGCTGGACGATGGAGACCAACTGTGGCGCTTGCTTGCTGTACGCGCGGCACACAACGTAGACGTTGAGCGTCGACGTGGACGGGCGAGGACAGGAACCCTTTCTTTCGAGGACTCGTTCGTTCTGCCGCCGGCTTGACTCGCCGGGGCCAATGCCCGGTCAAAGTCCCACCTTCGACGGTTCGCCAGCTCTACTCCCCTCGTCCTCCTCGCTGCGGCCTCTTCGTACTCTTTGCCGGTGCAGCGGTCACCCTTGGCGGTCGTCCTCCCATAGCTTGCCGTCCCCTATAGCCCCCTCGAACGTCCGAACTTCTTACACGTCCGATGCTCATGAACGGCGGGGGGGGGGGGG